AGCTATAGGTCGGTAATTATCAAAGAGGGCTTTGACTTCGTGTTTACGAAGGGGCAGGGGTCGATGGGGATCGAAGATGTATCAGCCGAAGGTCTGCTAATACGACCTGTATATCTACTTCTCCAATCGCTAATTGAATCAAATGGCCGAACATCTTCGATCGATATGTTAGTGAGAGATTTCGTCGCGAGTAATTACAGACGTGTAGCGGCAGCTGCTGACAAAAGCGGGTCAGCGCGCCCGCTACTACCATTGTTTCATGGAATTAGGTTACGCGATCGTAACCCGACGAAGCCTGGCAATTTCCTGCTTGTCGTGCTGCACCGAGATTCGATGACGCCTACGGCAAATTATTTCCTACGTATCTGTCGTCGATTTAGTTAATGATCGCGGTCCGACCGCAATAATGGCAGCATTGACAATTGGTGGCCATCGGGCTGGTCGCCTAACGCCTAACGCATATCGTAAACGATTTACAATTCAGACCGTGTGTAATTTAATTACACCGTGCTGCGATACGTGAGATAAAGAATGTACGATACGGTACGAATTACGAGATCCGAAAAGTTCGGGTCGTTTATCGAAAGTTATCGTCTCTTATTATCGTCTCTTTGACTAATTCGGAATTGATCATAAAGGTATCGAAAAATTGAAATAATTTTTAATGAATTAATGATTAAAAATATAAGAAACCTTTGATAAACTCTTAAGAAATCATGAGAAAAACAAATAAGAGAGAACGGAACAAAATTATATTCTTTAATTAATTTCAAATGAATATTAAAATATAATTTAACCTATTTTCAAATAAGGTTAGAGAATTAAAAAAGATAAATGATGATCGCACTTGATGTTTTTATATTAAAAAATGTTGTTAAAATAAACTTAAAAAATTTCTAAATAGTTTTTCTTCTGAAGTAACTTGTATTTTAAAATTGTTATTCCAGATATCACATGTTTAAAGATATCTTTATAATCGATATTCATAGTCGATTCTTATATTTAAGATTGTCTTAAATACAGTTTTAAGATATCATAAACCAATCGCAGAGCCGTATTAGCATCTTGAAATATTATTTAAGACGGTTTTAAAATAAGAACCGACTATAAATATCGGACTATAAGTATCTTAGACCGATGCACATTATATGGAATATATTGCAAATTTTAATTCAAACTTTACTTTTAAAAGCTCGTTTTTCTAATTTGATATTTCATTAAAAACCAATAATTGTCATTATTATTTAATTTTCATTTTTCTAACATATCTTATCCCCCGTGAATAAACTTTGATACTTTAAACTTGCATACTTTGATGTACATATTTAATATTTTACAAATAGATTCCTTTTGATTATTAACATTGGTTTCCTAATTGTATGTAATTTATACAGTGCTAAGATACGCTAACAAAATTACTCGCTTAGTGAATAACATTTACATTAGACATCTGAACGTCTTGCGTATACTCATTGCACGATGCAAGGAGAAATTAGATGGAAGGCAAATGAACGAACGGGAAAGGGAGAAACAGATCGTTTAGTGATGTACCAATGAAAAGGGATGATGCTATTAAACTAATTAAGACATCTTAAGATTTTAATGAGTTCTCTTGGCACACTGACTACGTTAATTGCTTTTAAATCGATGCATTTTTGGATGGATAATTTTTAGGACGTATAAATTTTACAAATAGTAAAAATCGCACGATATATTTCTTTTCTATATCTTTACTGAATTTTACTTACTGGATTTTTCTACGACAAAATTAAAGTGTATCTTTATATTTATATCGGCATCTGAACATTTTTTTTTACTCACGGTAAATTTTCTTAATAATTTTTAATAATTGCATTGAGAAAAAAATGTTACCTTGACTAAATGTTTGTAGATTGCGATTATTTTAAAGCGATTATATAAATAGTTCGATTATTTATATATTTAAACATACGCAAGTTATGTCAACATATTATTTGTTTGAATTAATAAACATTTGTTTAAATTAACAAATATTTGCTTGAGCCATTTTGCGTAACCATTACATTTAGTTAAATCAACTAATATTTTTTTGAAACAGCAACTTTTTTCTTTCAGTGTAATTATTGATCAATGAATCTTTCTTGCAAAGTTGCAACAATCTAACTCTGAATTAAATTTTAATTAGGTTGGCAATTAAATTTCTAGACTGTAGTATGCTACAAATGCATATTAATTGGGCATAATGAAAAAGCTGATTCGTCGGCAGAGGTCAGCACGTTAACTGGTCCAATCATCAATCAGCTCAGTGAAGCTAAATGGTCAGGACAACGGGTTTTAATATCTCCTGAGGAAAATAAAAGTTAGCGCGATAAATCAAAGGTGAAAAGTCGCTGCCTTACTTTCTCTCTCTTTTCCTCTTGCCCTTTTTTCTTCTTGTCCCTCTTTTCTCTCTATCGTTCTCTTCTCTCTTACTTTCTTCTACCTTCTCGCTTTTTCCTCATTGCGCTCTCAGCTTTAATCTCTTTGCCTTCCATCAGTGACTTGCAAAAATGATAAATGAATTTCATCCACCGTGCGTGCCATATTTATATCTATAAAACTGGATAGTAGCCTCATAATAACCACAATGACGAACGATGACAATTTTGATGGCAACAATCATAATTTGTTTGCACAGATATTGAAATATTGATCTTTATATGCGGAGAAGCTTATAAACGACAATGACAATCGCAAATTCAGTGTCTCGCCATCCAATTTTCGATGATATAAATTTTATTGATTTACATTCGCACTCCATCTCGTGCGTGTGTACGGTGACAAACGTCGCGAGATAAAGTTGCACGTCGACGTATCGTTGTAATTTTTGCGGCAAACATTGCCACTCGAACAAGTAAAACGGGGCCGGGGGTTGAAAGTCATTTAGGTATTATCTTACGGAAAAGACGACAGGGGCTACATATTTGCATTACGTTCGCGTGTGTAAACACGTCTGCTGAGGCGCATACTTTGTCATCCTATCCTATTTACCTTGGGGAGAACGCACCTCCACAACGTGCATCGCGTGCACCCTCTCTACAACCTTGTCGCTTAGTAATCGCTCAGGTGCTTGTGACAAATAGCAATGACCTCTTTTGCTGTGGACACATCCTCTATATCGAGGCTATCAATAGATATTAAATTATGCCTCTTCAAACTTATGCCATAGAACTGAAAAAAATAATCGTACGGAACTTTGTAGGATAAATAATTTATTTAATTCCATGAACGCGGATATTTAATGTAGCATTTGTGTTCATATTGATATTAAGAGAACATATTTCTCACGCAAAATCTGGCCTTTAATCCTTTTATTCCGTATTTTGCTTTTTTTCTCGAATACACATGAATTGAAATGTATGATAATATGTTCAACAGGACTTTACTTTTCATATCGTGCAAAAATTTAATTAGAAATAGAAAGTTAAAAATACTTATAGTAAGGGGAATTACGTACACGGGGTAAAAAAAAACGTGAACGATACTCTATTGCAGTATATAAGAGTAGTAATAATCTCTCATTTCTCGCATCCAGTGGTAGTCCGGTATACTTAGTGCCGCACTGTACGTGATAGAATGTAAATGTTGTTAAATAACAACACATATTTTAAGGAAAAAATTAAATGAAACTTACGATCATTTGAATTATAAAAGTTTTTACTTAAAGAATATTGGCTTTAAACTAATATTTAATATTTATATATTATTTATGTAAACTACTAAGTTGAAATAAAAACACAAAAACTGATTCATCATTAACTCTTGTGGTAACGGATAATTCTAAAGAGTTTTGTTTTTTTTTTTAAACGTTTTTCTATCGTATGTTTTTTTCATAGGCAGATATGTTTATTTCATATTTTATAGTTTATACTGATATAATAATGAATGTTAATTATTGTAATTTAAAGCCAAATTTTAATTATAAATAAACGTCGGAGTTATATTATACAATTTTTCCCTAGGTGTTCGCAATTCCCCTACTCTTCCTGAATGTCTATAAAAAGATATCGTTGCACATAAAAGAATAAAAAATGGACTAATAGCATAATTAAAGTAAATTTTCTAGCAGTAGGATTAGATAAAATAATTATATAATACTGCTAATGCAGTATGTCGATACATACATCCAGCGATGAGCGTATATTATACAATTATAACAAAGTTGCCAAGACTAACTAATTTCAATTAATATCATATCCTGTAAAATTTTTAGCTGAAATTTCTGCAGTAAGGACGTCCAGCCGCGGACAGTTGCAGCCGGTAATAAATCCCGTCGACGACGCATTCGCTAAAGACAAATGATGAAATTACGAATAATTATTCAGGTATATATACCCAGATAAGTTACGCGTAGAGGCGCGTGTAGGGTGGAAGGCACGGATGTCGGTAGTACCAGAGTAAAATATGATGTAGAGTTTGGCCGGTTTGGCCAGCGTTACAGCGGCTAATACGTTCCGGGAGAGAAGTTAGTAACAGGTGGCGCGATCCATAATATTGCGCAGTGTAGAATTTACCCAATCTGGAAAGACAAAAGTATTTTGTCTGGTTGCGTGTAAATATGTATGTACATATAGGTATAACACGTAATTCTACATGGTTTGTTTTCATTTTAATTCCATATTTGTTTTATGTAATTTCTCGAATTACTCCAAAAAATAAATGACAGTTCAAAATAATGAATATTCTCGTACCTTAGATCCACGTAAAAAATATAAGCAGTCGCGAGACAAGCTGGTAACAATAGGAATAAAAACAAAAAGAAATACGCGAGCGTACCATAGATTGGAATCGAGGGAGAGGATTTGAGAAAGCACGACTCTTTGAAATACTGAAAATAATTGTGTTCTTTTTCACAAAAATTGCGAAAAAAAAGACGAATGAAGAAAGACTAAATCTTTTTGTATGATTGAGAAATATACGAATATTTTGAATATTTATAATGTATACTTGGTTTTTAAAGATGGGAACTTGTTTTGTTACAGTGTCTGCACCACCAAGTACCAGTCCTAGCCCGTCTACTACGGAGGTCCCCAAGAAAGGTAGATATTAGAGACAGATTCCTCTCACAATAGTTATATACGAGTACATAAAATATTGTAAAATTAATAAATTATTGCAGATCGTACTATTAGAATTACGTCATAAGATTTGATGCTTCCATTTCTAACGTAATTGATATTATTCATGTCGTATATTCACTTGAATCTAATTTTCCAACGCGCGTTTACTTTTGCAGATTGGGAATTCATGGCGGAGATGAATAACTCTGTTTACGGAAATCCAAGTTCGCTGACAATTCAAAATGAGAAGAATATCAAGACAGGTGAGTACTCGGAGCGGTGTATATATATCTTCTTTTTATGTAATTTCCAACGTACATCATCGCAATTTCGCGAATTATGGGATTGATTTCGTAACTTTGCATTTCAACGAAGTGGTGCACTCGTCGACTGTCACGCGAGCGTATAATATACGAATAACAAGCACTCGAGATATATTTGGTGAAAGTATTCTCTTGCATCTTTTATATATTTTTATTTGAAAAGAACATATCAATCATTTAGATTTTTCTTACACGTTCAAAAAAAGGGTGAAATAATAAGACAAAGAACAGAATTTAGAAATGCAGACGTAATGTCAAAAATGATAAAGGAGAAATCTATTAAATGAAATATTTCCTACAAATTATGAAGGATTGTTAATTGTAGCATTATGTGTATTAAACGCACAGAAATATTCGGATATATTTATAAATCGTTTATTATTGGCATTAACAAACATCTTTGCGAATACATGAAAAAACTCAAAGTTCCAATCTGTGTACGCTATGTGTTAGTAAAATCGTAATCTAGCTAGAACGGATTTACATATTCAATCTAGCATCACGTATAGTCAAATGCCATCCCATAACTGGATTTTCCAGCAACATACTTTGAATCTCCGACGCGATTAACTTCGATGTTAACTAGAGCCAGGGGACCCACCAGGGAATCCCGGGAATCGATTGCGGCTTTAAGAGTGGTTTGAAGAAGGGTAAGCAGTTCGCTTTAAAGCTTTCTACAGAGGGCGAAAGAGAACCACGGAAATGAGGATCTGTAACGGGATAACAATTGGAATTTTCCGAGAACGAATCTTTCTTCTATATTATACAAAATGATCGAAATGAACATAGCTATTTTAAATTACACAATGCATTATCAAAGTAACGTATATTCATCACAAATATATAATTATAAACATTAATGATATCCATATCTTCAAAAGAAAAATTGAAACAAATATGGATTAAATCTATCAAAAAAAGCTTGAAAAAGAAATTTCAATTTAATGTATTACTTTGGAAAACTGCCAGTGTTTACTTAGAAAATCAAAACGCGGAAGTGACTGTCAAAAAAGTTTAGGTGAGAAACGAGTGTGAAGAATAAAAAGAATGGTAGAATAAACATAAAGGTAACAGAGAGGCAACTGAAGTGATGTTCGTAACAGGCACACATGAGTGGTTATATGCAAGAGCAGAAAGGATAGATGAATAGATAGAAGCGAGAAAGAAAGAGAGAGAGAGAGAGAGAGAGAGAACTGGGAACTGGGGTTGACTTGGGTAGAAGAGATCCGTGTAACATCAATATTTCATGTATGCTAACACGCCGGAACTAATAATGCTCCAGCGAGGAAGACCCAAGAATAATATCAGCCACCGCTGTGTAGACCGCGTTCTCCATCCCCATCCTTTCCCTTCTCACCCTTCTATTTCTTTCTTTGTCCTTCGCTTTGCTCTATCACCTAAAACAGCAACGTGCAGCACCCTGGCGTCCTTTTGCGCCCCGTGTTAAATTTAATCGAAAATTCGTGTCTCGTTGAGCTTCGCCGTCTCTACTGTGTCTACCGTATGTCTCCTTCCGTATAACCAATGTCATCGCCCCGGGGGCGGGTTGAGAGACGGTGGAAAGGTGAGAGTGAAAAGATGGGGGCTGAGGGGCGAAGAGAGGAAGATGGTGAATACGACGGGACGTGGTAAGTTTGAATACGGCATATGTCTCCTTGTCTCTCTCTCCTTCTCTATTTGCGGAGGTCGGGAGGAAGGAAAGGACGGGCTGCGAAGGAAGGATGAGGTTTGTAATTGGTGCAACATCTGCGGTCTGCAAGGTGGCATTAATGTTTGCTCCCTTCGTGCTCTCTCGCCCTCATCTCTGTTTCCTCTCCTCCGTTCCGCCCCTCGATCTCGCCAGGATTCTCCGAGAGAATCGCCTTTTTCCCTTATCGCATTGTTTCTTTTTCTCTTCTCCTTATCCTAGTTACATTTAACCGTGCCTGCTTCCATTTCTCCCAGTTCTTTTAAGCACTTTATTTTTATGTCATCTTCTTTCCTTAACATATCTGTTTGACTTATTCCCTTTTAGTCTGCCAGCGTCTCTTTTTATATCTACGTTACGCTCGTTACGATTCTAACAGCTCTCTCGCAGTACATTTTTTTCCTGAGATAATTTATCTCAGTCCTTCGTCTTGCAACTACCTTGCCATCTTTTTGTAATGTCCTCTTTAAACAATCTAGCGGTCGCCGCCTATTTGCGCCGCTGTTTCTCGTTATTCGTATCGTTGAAAATTCAAGGGCGCAAGTGTACGCTTAAGATTAAACAGAAGATTTGCTTGAGTTTCCTTCACACGGACGGAAACCCAAGCATAAACAGGCCTTATTTGCTCATAGTAACTTACGACAATCTGTTGTCGAGAATACTTAAACATAACGCGATGCGTTTTAACTTTCCCTAGTATAAGACGGTGTTATTCGTTAGATGAGAAAAGGTAGGCTTTGCTTGCAAAAGTTACAATACAAAGCAACATAAAAAATATATATTTTATATTTTATGCACAATATTGCTTCAATATACGCGCGCGTATATCTATGTTTGACTTATTGAACTAGAAGAAATAAATATTGCCTAAATGTTAAATATCAATGCTTGTAGCTAAAATTGATTAGTCTTACATAAAGTATCCAAAAATATCAAATGGAAACAAATATTACACACTATTTTATATCTTTAAACAATATACTTGAAAACTGATAATCTTACAGAAAACTTGACTTAGAAAATCGTTAATTCTATAATTTTTCAGTAAAATTAATGCAATAAAATTATTTTAAATAATTATCATAATTTAATAATTAAGAAATGACGTTTTAGTCAGCTTTTAAAGGAATTAGAATCATAGTGCATTGCGAGGCACTTGTCCATTTTCGTTACCCTCTTAAGTCGCGTCGCGAACAGTTCGCGAATGGCAAATTGCGTACAGAAGTGACGGTACACGGCGGCCTACGGCGATAAGTCACTTTGAGGTTCCGATGGGGAACTGGGCAAGTATTGTCGCGGTATCGTGACATCTCCCGGAGCACATATGCCCTTAGGTGTCGCTTAATTCCCCGGCGCAGCGTTGTCCGCCTGTAATTCGGGAAGAGCATGTATAGCGATTGGTTTAGCCGCGTGCTTTCGTACGATTAACACGTCCCCTATTCTATTGTATGCGCGCACGTACAGAGGTGAAGGAGTAGAGGTGCGTAAAACCCGCGCCGTTTAACAGCATGGGCTGTCGTGACGTGTAAGGCAAAATCAAATCGCTTCGTCAAGTCAAAAATCATTTTTATCATGTTTATTCATTGATAATCGCATTGATACGCTGTCGTTACCGCACGAAATTATTTACGACCTGAATTAACATTGTAATTAACATTAATTAGAACGCGCTCGTGTCGTTGTGACAATATTGCGCACCGCGTGACACAGCTGTATAACTTTAGATCTCAGCGTGCGGAACCTTAGACCTCTGTTAATTTTCTTGGGACACACCTTGACTTCGGTCAACCACCTGAGACAACGAATATCATTGACTTTATCACGTATGTACGGTCTGTCTGATTTCAAGGCAAACACATACGCATGCGTCAACACCGAGACGGTTTGATATTCATGGAATGCAGAACGGAAAGCTAAATCCACAATCTCATCGAAAATAGTTAAACGCGTCTGCACTGACCTGTCAACCTCGAATCGTGCGAATATGAGCGGGAATATCATGACCCACTGGACGTAAAATCAATGAGAAATAACTGCAACGCTAACTTTTTAGGGGGGACTTATTTGTGTCGACAGTAGTTTCTTTTTGACAGCAGAATTGCTAGAATCCGGGATTATCAAATCCAAACGGGATATGGAATCAATGTGTGGGGCACCAAGAGCTTTATCTTTTATTTTCTTTTTTTTTTTTTAACCAATACAATCTTCTGCATGCACGATTCATTGTCAGTCAGTCTCGAGTGAAGGACTACTCTGGATGAAACACTTTTGTACAATAGTACCGCAATATTTTATTAATACTATTAAATTGTCATGGGAAACTTATTAAATACATCAATGCATCTCCTTTATAATCCTTTTTATACATTATGAATTATGTCCAATATTTGAAACACTGATCGACAAATCAAATCTTTATAAATTGCAATTCTGCAATTCGTGCTCTTCTCATTTGAAATATCTCAAAATTTATACTTTAAAAAGACACTGGTAAATATAATGATGATATTGCAGATTTATATGCGATAAACGAATTTTTAAGTCAGATTATCTGAAAACGTTTATCAACATTTTTATGTCTTCTTCTTGTGACACGAAAGAGCATCGGATTTTTGCGCCAACCCAAACAACACATTGAAACATTTAAGACGTCTTTTAGACGCCAAAGACGCCTTATGTCCCTCTTTTGAATTTGTGTTTGTCTGGGAGGTTAATAGCTCGTAATATTTTGATCAACTTCCAAATAAATACGTATGATCGAGCACATTTATTTTTCACAGATGAATTGACGAAAGTGAGTATCTGTTTTAATTTGCCTGGCCATTTACAAGGATCAATGATATCAGACGCAACCATTAAATATAAATTTCACTATTCGGTTTGGTTGATATCTGGATTTTTATTTTAACTATGCTTTGATGCACTCTCTCCTCCTTAATCCCTTCCCCCTCCCCTCCCCTCCTCCTCTCTCTCCCTCTTAACCGTCTTTTTTGCTTGGAAATTTATTTATGCACAATTTCATCGTGACTAACTCTTGCTCGTTGCTCCGCAACGAAATCCTGAACTATTAGAGATAACGAAGCTTACCCGCTCCCATGGAGCTTTACACGCGTCTATGCTCGCGCGTTGAAGGCTATACGTCTGGTTCCCTAAACACGTCGTCGCCCACGCATAGTTACAGAAACAGCCACATCGTGATAGAGATTCTCGCATATAGGAAACTATAGAACTGGCCCAGGCGCATAGATATACGTACAGCGCACGTTACACATTGTCACTGCTAATGTTTGGTCGAGATTTGCATACGTCTGTCTAGCCTATCCATTGCGTCGCCGTACAACGGTTGTCTCACCTCGTTGTCCGAGGGTGTATCCGGCGGTGGCGGCGACCTTACTCTGTACTATCAGCTTGGTATATTATACACACGAGCGTACAAGCGACCTACGCAAGCGCGCGCGTACGCTGTCATGATCGCCCATTACCTTACCCAAAATAGGCTATCGTGCCAAGATCGTGTGCTTTCCCTGCGTTGCCTCGCAGTTCTCGCCTTGTCCCTTACCTAAACTGACTAGCACTGCCGCGGGGCCATGAACTTAGAAATCTAATCGGGAGGCAATGAAGACACAAAGCGATATTCACAAGCACCTTGCTTCGTAGGTACCTCAAAATTAAACTGGAAATGCTGGCAGCCTCTACACGCGGCTTTCTATCTAGTTGTTGCAGCGCTGGTCCTTCATGTTAGTAAAGATGCGTTTATATCGGTAGCGGTTTAGCTAACTTGATATATTATCTGTTTTATACGCGTTTTACGCAGGAAAAATGATACAACAAACGTTGATGAATGAGGATCGATTATAATCTTGCGAGAAATAATGAGGAATGCACAACATTTATTTACATAATATAGTATATGAATATATAAACTTAGAAAAATTGCTAAACTTTTATATTTAACAATTATTTATAATTGATATATAATTATATGTGCCATTGTGCCAGACATTGTAATAACATTTTAATAAGCATAACTTAGAAAAAGTTATAATTCGACTTTAAATTAATCTGTAAATGTAGTTTACAAATTACGTTTATATTGTAGATTAATTTAAAATTAAATCGCAACGTCTGGCATATTATAGTTATTACTTTTCCAACTAGAAGAAAAAAATAAATACAAATAAAAGATAAAAAATAAATACAAAGATAATTTAAGGGGATGCTAGAGCGACGCGCTATAAAACAGATTCTTATTTTTCATTATGTTCAAATCGTACTTTTTGATTTATTTCTCTTGTAAGCTTCAAAATCATAATTTGAAGGTCTCGTTATGTTCTTATACATTATTCAAATGTAGGAAAGTACTTTTTGTTATTTACATACTTGAATTCATTTATATATATATATATATATGTGTGTGTGTGTGCGTGTGTGCGCGCGCGCGCGCATATGTGTGTGTGTGTGTGTGTGTGTGTGTTTGTGTGTGTGGAGAAATAACTTACGTGATAATAGGAAACTGTAATTTACAATTTTTAAAATTTTTTTATACAGGTTTGTAGTTTCCCACAGCACAGTTTTTTCTTTCATTCTAGAGAAGGATTTTTTATTCTAAGGAAAACAAAGTGAATGGAAAAATACAAAATGCGCGTTCCGTCGGTAACTTCAGCATCCCTTTAATAGAGTAAGGAAAATCGAAATTTTATTTATTGATGTTATAAGAGGAAGCTTTATTTTTTTAATAATAATTACATTAAATATATTTATATGATTATTACGTAAAGAGACAAAAACGTATACGTATATTTGAACAATAAGAGATATTTATTTACTTATATCACCCTGTGTGCTTCATATATGATGAGCACGTATCCACGATAACATGATAAAACCAGCACACATAAGAGCTGGTTGTGTAATTTTATTATAAAATATATACTCATCACGAGCTGTTTCGCTACAAGAATGTAATCCAAAACGCGGCGAGCTTGTGACAAGCGTGTGTCGTGACATGGATAGAATCTACTTGGCGCGGATAAGGGAATTGTGTTTACTCGGAGTTTGCATACTAGTTAACGCGTTTGCCACCCACTTTATGCGTAACAGGCTCGTAAACATCTTCAGTCGAGAGAGCCACTCGTTGTACGTCCCTTTGTCCGTGATTCCGCTATGCGAACCACGCGAGTCTCTCCTTTCGCTCCTTCTGTTCTCTCAGATCCCATCTCCTCTGTTCCACCGACGACTTTGCGCTATAATATCTCGAAGCGAGATTGAATTTTTAATTTATTCCCATAACGTCTGAGATTCGTTCCCATAACATCCGGAAAACAAATTGTCGCCAGTTCGCGGTAGACTTTTCAAGAAAAATATTTTTCTTGAGAATATCCTTGTATATTTATTATTAACCTGTTGTCTGCATTGCATTATATGTAATATCGATGTACATGATGTTTTTCATAAACATGTTTTTTATATTTTTGTCTCAAGGTACCAAGTTCCAATCGAATCTGAATGAAATTGGAAAATCAGAGCAGAAGTCGTCCGAACTGGATAGAAAAAGAAATTACAACTGGCCTCCTGATAAGGGTGAGTATAAAACATAATCAAAATTGAATAAAATATAATCAAATTGACGTATAATTGAAATTCTATGTACAGGATGTTTCATTTTAAGTGATGTGGTCGATTATTTTGCGAATCGATGATTTTATTGAAAAATTTTTCGAACAAAAGTTACATGGCTTGAATCACTGATCGGTCTTGCCTTAGTTAACCGGATCAGTCCCGATCTTGCCTTAATCGGCCGGATCAGTGATCGATCTTGCCTTATAACTTAACAAGTACTTAATGAAAAGTAACTTCATTATAGTGTTGGAAAGTTCTCGAGATAAGCTACAAGAATATGTAATAAAAAATAAGGATTTCTATTTAAAAAAACATTAATGATTTTGACAAGCTCACTCAAAGTCAAGTCCATATTTTCATTATGTGTCCCCCTTTAAGCCATGCAACTTTCGTTCGAAAAATTTTTCAAAATCGTCGATTCGCGAGATAATCGACC